CGCCCCCCCCCCCCCCCCCCCGAAGAAAAGAATACCGGAGCACATTTCTCCCAATCACTCGACGGAAGCCGAGCCGCAAATACCGATACCAAGCACTGAAGCAATGAAAAGAAAAACAATGCTAATGCTAACAACTAGCCTCAAGAAGCTAGAAGTCCGTGTCCACCCCTTTCCAAGCCTGAGAGTGTTCATCGACGCCCCCATTTCACGCGCCTTATTCCAGCGAAAGCACGAAAAACATCACCCACACAGCACAGCTAGGCTCTCTGTCATTGACAGCATTCCAGCCTCCCACACTTAAAATTCTTCCCGCACTCAGTTGCCCCGCTTATTATGCGTACCCGCCCTGGCGACACCATTCCGCGTAGCTCTTCGACTCCAGCCTCTGCAGGCGCTTCACGAAAGCGTTCAATGGGGCTGCGGGGTTCGCCACCGCTGCGTGCGACGGTGCCGACGACACCCTCCCGGCCTCTAGGAAGTCGATCCGTTTTGCAGTGCGCGCTCCTCCTTTTCTCCCGCCCGGCGCAGGTCGACCTACATCCAATATTTGTTATGTTAAGGTGTTTGGGCAAAGTGTAGATTGCGCACGCAGAGCGGCACGACAAACTTTATTGTGACGACGACCTACTACGTGATCAGGGCGGCACTCGGCCACAACGTGTTGGTGTGCAGGCTGGTGACATGAACGACAGTTGAGTTCTACGAGTGTGGGTGAGACTTGCAAGTGTCGGCTTAAGGAGGCCGCAATGCGAGCACGGGGATGTCGCCACGGTGGTCCAAGAAAAAGACTTCGGGGGCAAGAAAACAGGACAGAAAGTCAACTACGGGCGAGTTTTTGATGGGCGAGACTGCCAAGGGGTCGGTTTTCCCTGTAGGATGGAGGCCGAGACAGAGAGGTGGTGCAGCTCATGGTATGTAGCAACTTCTCCTTCAACCAGGGGACCCGTGAGAGGGAGGGGGTAGTGCGGTGACCTGGGGCTCCCGGGGGACGATACTCAGCAGGCCCATTCTAGAGCATACGCATCGCCATACAAACACACGCACACACACATGACACCCTCCCAGATGATGGACTTTAGAAGGATTTTGTGTTTTTCAACCGCATTGAGACTGACGCCTTTTCGTTGGCCAGCCAGCTTACGTGGTCAATGCACTTGGAAAAACACACCTGACGATTGCTGTGGGAACGCTGGCGACCTATCCCCGTCCACAAGCTCATCGAGGCGTGTTGTGGTCGCCGTTGCCGGGGATTCATCACCCCTCCCCCCCCCCCCTCTATCCCGCGGGGAGAGCGGTCTTTTCCCCTTCCCCTTGTGTGCTTCATGTCCCCTATCCCCGGACCCCGGGGTTTCCACCCGGAAAACTTTGGCGGCGTGTTCGAGCCCACTCGGGCCACACTTTGCCTGAAAGCACTCGAGAGAAGGAAGTGCAAAAGGGGGGGGAGTCGGAGTCAGAACACAAAATGCGAGGCGAGAAACAAATATTGCGCTGATGTTGTAGGTGGTGCGGCCGCGGGGGGGGGGATGGTGTTGTTGAACGAGGGGGGAAGGCGGGGACAAGCGACAATTGATGAGTTTGTCGTTTTCAAGAAGGTGTGGTAAGCACACCGTCTGTTCAAAGCGGTGGTTCCGGGGGGGGCACCGCAGATGAACAGCGAAAAAGATGGCCTCCGGCGAAAGGAAAAGGGCATTTCAGTCTTCTCGGTGACATCGAGTGGGTTTGAACTCATTTCAATAAAATGGAAACGCCAATGCACAAAGGAACAGAGACAAAGCACTTAAAATAGACGGCAATCTGGGACGTTACCCGCAAAAATCGCAGGCCAGACAGACAGCTGTAGATCGGGCGGATGTATTCAAACTCTACAAAATCCCTGTCGAGCGTTCGACTCCTCCGCGTCTCTCTCTCTCTCTCTCTCTCTCTCTCTCTCTCTCTCTC